TTCTAAGCCTTACTTTCTACTTTCATAAAGTAGAAATAATAAAAGTATTTAGCTCATACATTAGATGACATACTACAATGTAAAACAGCAGCCCTAGGTACATGGCAGCCGCTATTATTATTTGCAAAGGCAGCTATGGGTTCCACATCAAATGAGTCCATGCTGTAACATCCAACAGTGACTGTGCAATGTGACATCGTTCAAGCAGGTTCACATTGAGGTGGTGGCCACCAGTGTAGCCTTGATCCCTCAAACCTTGCCCATGCCTTCAACGTGAAATCTGCACAAATACACGTTCAAAAGAAACCTAGGAACACAAGAGTGGTGTGCTGGGGAAGTTGAAAGGAAGACAGACTGAGGAAGGATCCTACATTCTGAGGACAGGGATGTCAAGGACTTCCAACATCTGAGTTCCTAAAGACAGCCATTGTGTTAGACTCTTTCACCACTGTATCCCCAATGCCTAACAGAGGACTTAGTTTGTAACTGCTGAACAAATAAATGAACAAAGTTTCTCTCCAACAGGTGTGTCTTCCGGGTGACTTAGACTGAGGCAAGCCCAAGGTAATTAATCTGCTGGAGGCTAGACACTACCCCACATCCCACAACAAAGACCACCTTGTCGGTTGAATACTTGGAATCTGAATTCCAGGCCCAGTCATGCTGGTCAGCCTCTGCTAGAAGCACCACCACACACTAGGCCAAGAGAAACCAAGAAAATGTTAATAAAATTTGCCTCAGAGGTATGTCAGTTAAGTGCCTTCAGAGGCCAGGCAAGGATGGATGCAAATGAGTGAAGTGGACTAGGTGTAAAACACCAGGGAGTGGTGGGGACTGTGGGAACTGGAGCCCTCCTGCCCTAAGGAAAGCAGCTGCTACTCAGCTGGCCCACCAACGCCATACATTCAATTTTAGGAAGAAAAGAAATCCAAATAAAATCTTCTTATTTTTAGAACACTAAAAGGGCCAAACTAAACATATCCAAGATTCAAATTGCAACTCTTGTTTTACCCAGGTGTGACTGTATACAAGCACTCAAACTCTTATCATCAAGAGAAGCAGAACAAGACAAAGGGAATAGGGATGATGAGAATATGGCAGGAAGCCCTTCAAAATCTAGGCAAGGGTTACTGTTCATTTTGACAACTGGGGGCTGGGAAAATCTTTTTTTTTTTCCTTTAGATTTCTGTAACAAGGTTAACAGGATAGATTCAAGAGGAAGTATTAGAACGATGAGATTGATGAACAACAGAGGCTTCAACCCCTAAGGACAAGACATTTGCAACAATCCTGTCACCGCTCAGAATGTTTTTTGAGCTGCATCCTGGTGTCATCTTTGAATCATATTTTAAGCAAAAAACAAACAAAACATTATTTTACAGTAAACCAGTTGCTGTGAAGTCAATTACAACTTATGGTGACTCCATGTGTGTCAGAGTAGAAATGTCCTCCATAATGTTTGCAATGGCTGATTTTTCTGAAGTAGATTTGCAAGCTTTCCTTCCAAGGCACCTCTGGGTAGACTCAAACCTCTAACTTTTTTTTGGTTAAATCTACTGCCATCAAGTTGATTCTGGCTCATAGCAGCCCTACAGAATAGAATTTCCTGAATAAGGTTTCCTTACAGAAGCAGACTGGCTCATTTTTCTCCTGCAGAGTGGCTGGTGGGTTCTAACCACCAACCTTTTGGTTAGCAGCCCAATGCTTTCACCAAAGCTGCCACCAGAGCTCCTTTCCTTTTTGTTAGTAGGAGTGCTACAAAATATGTGCTCCCCTGTTTAGCCAGTCCATCTTATTTATCAGATCTGGCTATGAGTACCCTCAGACTGCTCAAATCACAACTGGCCATTCTCAAAGACCAAGCAAGGACTCAGCAACACCGAGAGAGGTTCAGTCATATGAATGTACCACAGGGTGGGCAATTTACCATTTACTAAGCCCTTACTATATATATATACCATACAATGGGCTAAAGTACCCTCCCCATCACAAGGAGGAGGTAAACTGTTGTTAACATTGTGAGAATTGCAGTCAATGTCATAAACCAAAGTATGTATGAACTGCTGTACTGAAAAGGAACTTGCTCTGTAAACTTTCAACCAATCACAATAAAAATTAAATAAATAAATAAAGTGCCTTCCATGCCTCACTCATCCTAGTCTCATCTGTGAAGTACATACTCTTATTACTCACCTTTTACAGATGAGGATGGATATAAGACCTGTTTAAAATCACACTGCTAAGAAGAACAGCACACAGACTTCAGTCCAGGCCTGCTTGACTCCAATATCCATGTACAAATTCTGACTCACTTCTGTTTCTGTTTTTGGGTATATAGACTAATGGCCATGCTCTGGATGCTAAGAGAATGAAGCTGGCACAGCAAGATCACCTTAGCACATTTCATAGCATTATCTCCCACCCCAAGCAAAGACTTCCATAGGAAAGGTAAAAAACTACAGTCCCAAAGAAGGGACAAAGAAGATCAGCCTCTCTGTGTCTGGGCAATGTCATAAACAGGAGGGAAAGACCAAGAGGTAAAAGAGGTAGGCCAGCTCATAAGTAAATCCCATGCTCTGGTGTCCAGATGGCTTTGAGAAGGGCCCCCTCCCATCCTGGATCCCTAGCACTCTCTTCTTCCTACCACCATCACCAATTACCAAGTACCAATTTCCTCTCAACTGACTGGCAAGAAATCCTAGCTAAGGTGTTAGCTGACAACACCTTACCATATCACACTTCTTGTACTTGTATCTGAATGAGAGATTCTTAAAGATCAAGGCCTCAAGATGCAAGAGAATGAAGGAATCTCTAATGGTGAGCTGATAGACTAAGACATACCACAGATGTCCCCTGCCTGACACCACCCCAAAACAAACCAAAGAAGTAACTACCTCCTTATTAAAAATAACAGGAGACATTTATTGACAACAATTGACCATATTGTGCCAGCCCCTATGCTAGGTGCTTTACATACAATCACATTCAATTCACACTAATCTTAAGAGGGAGGTACTAACTTTGATTCACAGATAAGGAAATAAAACTCAGTTATAGTTAGTAACTTGACAAATAGATGGCAAAATGGTGTTTACTCAGGGCTTGTGGTCTTTCCTCTGGGAAGGCTCCACTCCCTCTCCCTTTACTCTCTACCTCTACGAAGGCCACTAAGTACCACACAACCCTAGCCCTGAGCAACCTTACTCCTAAAATATGGCATCCCAGGGAAATGCACGACAGGGAGGAAAGATAGCTTTAGATAACACCTTGTTAAGTACAGCCAGCCTTTCCTGGGTGGCCATCAAACTACTCAAATGCTTTAGGGAAGGACAATTCCAGGTCACCAGGAGCATTTGCCTGGACTCCAGGCTCTGAAGAATGGATCATAAGCCTCCTCCCTACCCCCACATGTTTTCCCTGTTGTGAAGGTGGCTAGCTGCATAATTTGGATTTTAAATGCCATCAGGGCAGCAATTTTTATGGTATGAGAGAAAAAATGCTTCAACTCCTACTTGTGCTTAGCACATGATGAAGGATTATTGACAAATGGATACAGCTTAGGAACAGACATAAGGATAAAAGCAGCTTCTGTTGATGAAAGTCAGTATTAACATTTTTTCTGAGACTAGACTCAATAGAGCTAATATAAATGGGCCAGAATAATTATGGCTCTGAAAGCTCATCTATTTAGTTGGACTATCATCCAAAAGGGACTTACTAACACACGGTCCTTAAGTGAATTCATCAGCACGCTTTTGTTAATTGTGCATCTGCTAAAGCTCACGACAGGGAGCACGGAGTTCCTTATGAGCTGGAGGCTGGGGAGAGGACACAGCCCTGATCCTCCCTTGAGATTCTTGGGTGCTTTTCTGGGTCATTCAATGGCTATACCAAGCTCATGGTGTGACCAGTCCTACCCTCTGGGCCACTGGGATCCCCTTCTTACTGCCCTTGAAGAAGAGGCCAAAAAAAGGCACCAACAGGACCTTAGTCAGAGACCATTAAAAGCCTAAAAAGGATTCATGACCCCAACTGTTTGTTCACTCCTGCTCCACAAAGTGGGGAGAAAGGCAGAGAAAACAAATGACTTCAGAGAGAAGGTGGAAGCTTGCCACAAGCCAGAGGTGAACCTCAGCTGAGCCGGATTATTATTAAATTCATCACAATTGTCATTTGCACTTCAAGAGCCTCCTGATCAAAAGCCTCCAGCGCTTTATTCAACATTTAGCAGGAGCCCTGGGGGTTGGGGAAGGTGTCCAGGGGAGGATGAGACTGTCAGAGAGAGCTGACAGTCAGGGTTCTCAAGAGAGGGGAGAGATTGGGCATGGAACTAGTCAAGGGCAGGCTATTGCTGGGGCAAGCTAGGGAAACAGGTCTAAAAGCCAAGGTGTAATACAGCCAGGCCAAGCATAGTGCCTTCTAAGGTGTTCTGCTCCTGCCTATGATAATGACACAAGCCCTGAGCAATGAGATCTGGGTGAATGAAGAGAAGCTTGGGAAGAACAGTAAAAGAGCAGAGGGGGAGAGGAGACAGAAATATGGACTAAAAAATATAGGAATTGGGGAGCAAAGAAGTAGAGTCTTGCTTGGGATTAGTGTTCACTACAGACACTCAGCTTCAGTAAGGAGAAGCCTAACCTCCCATCTGTGTGACAAACTGGCTGTGTGGTTTTGGCCAAGTCACTTCATGTCTCTAAGTCTTAGTCTCTTCCTTCTAAAAATGAGGGTAATAATTTAGCTGTCTACTTTATAGGGTGGCTGGGGGGGGGGGAATAAGTAAGAATATATATAAAGTATATACAGTGCTTGGTACACAATAAGCTGGTGATGATGATAATGATGATAAACTGTGCAAGGAAACGTTGCCACATGCCCAGCACTGGCCATATTACTATGAAAAGGAAAAATAAATTACCACCCCACTCTAACAGAGCCCTGGTGACACCGAGGCTTTCTCTGACTCAATTAGGGGACTGTCCCGTTTGCAATGTGATACTTACCGGGTTTTGATGACTGAGGCAGATGGTAAAGCAAGAGGCCATCAGCAACCCAAGCAGCATACCCAGAGGAGTCATCCTGGACAGGGACAGGCCCCAGGGAGTCATAGTTAGAAATCTGAGGAGTACAAACACAGAAAACAGAAGGTCAATGGAAGACTGGTACCTAGTACCCAGGATCATGATTCTCATGACAATACCAATTTGGAAGATTAAGACATTTCCTACATAGAGGTATCACAGGTCTTTTACCACAGGGGTAGACAAACCTGGAGTAAGCCTCCATCTTCCATAAGGAGTAGAGCCACATGAAAATATGCCCCGCTTGGAACTATAAAGTCAACCAGAACTCTTTTTTAAATTTTTGTTGTGATTTGGGTGAAAGTTAACAAAGCAAATTCATTTTCCAGACAGCAGTTCATACACATTTTGTCTCATGACACTGACTGCAATTTCCCACAATATAACAGGTCTCTTTCCACTTCCCCCCCATAGTTACTTCTTCCCTGTGTCCTTCCCTCCCATGCACTCCTGCCCCCCAAGCTGTCTCCTTGTGCATACACTGCCCTTCTATTCTCCTATGATTGATATCTCCAAGGAGTGTATCTACCTAATAATATAAATGTTCAGTTCATATGTTTGTCTTTTGTTTGGCTGCAAGCCATAAGGGTAGGTTCAATTCCAGACCTGAAGGGCAACTAGGGACCATAGTCTCAGGAGTTTCAACCCAGCTCTATCAGACCAGACACCAAACCTGGTCCCGTTTTTTTTTCAAATGATTTTGAGTTTTGTTCCACATTGTTCTCCCACTCTATCCAGGATCTCCTACATAGATCCCCCTCCGAGTGGTTCACAGTAGTAGCCAGGCACCATCCAGTTCTTCTGGTCTCATAGTCATACAGGTTGAGGACTGCATGGTGTATGCTTGGACTGTTTCCATGAATCTTTGGTTTTCTTCATTCTTTCTTGTTCTGGAAGAGGAGAGACTAATTGTTCCATCTAGATGGCCGCTTGCAAGCTTTTAAAGTCCCTGTCACTACTCGCCAAAGTAGGATGTGGAGCAATGTTTTGTGTAGTATGTTATGCCAACTGAGCTTGATGTCCCCTGCAACTATGGTCCCGAGCCCACAGGTCCAACTACTCACTCCCTCTGGGTAGCTGGCTATGGCCAAGAAGTGACTACAACCTTGTCCCTTTATAATCATCCACTTTTAAACCATACCCACTGTCCTGCTTGAAGACAGATGTCATCAATGTCTCATATACCAGAATAGTTCATATTCTCAAGCCACAAAGTCTTTCACATCACCTTTCAGTCTAGCACATGTATCTGGAACCGTGCCAGAAGTTTCTTGGAGGGGGAGATAATTTTAGTAAGCATTCCCTGATAATGATGCCAGACATTGGGCTCAGAAGAGACTCTACTTGTCCTAATTGTTTTGAAAACCAAAGTGCAGCCCTAGTAGATGTTAAAACTGAAATGTCACAAGGATGCATTGTTTAAATAAACTCTGCTCATTAAAGCAATGCAAAGACTAAAAAAAAACCACTAAGTTTAATTTGCTCTGAGTTTTAATATATGTGCTGAAGATCATATAGTATTTATTCTGTATTCAGAAACTTTCAAAGACCTAAAATGCAACATTCTTCTGACCTGGTTTAAAATAGTAGAAGTAGTAGTATCAGAACATGCCTTACTTCAAGGGGGACAATGTGAATTAAAGTCAGCCCAAGGGTGATCCATATGAAGTGGAGATCAGACATACCTCTACCCTCCAACCTTTTTACCAAATTTGACACCAGCTGTCCCTCCCATGACACTCTCTACTTCTCTTCTGGGTTTGATAATCCATGGCAATGGTCACACGGAACTCACAGACCATAAGTAACAAGGTACAACTTAGGATCAGGATCAACAGGCTACGATTCAGGATGAGGAAGCATGTAGGCAAAGTCTCCCATCTTCAGTGAAGGACATCTCTCTAGATTCTTCTCAGTCATGCAGGCCTCTTCTTGCCACACCCCCCCCCCCCAAGACAGGCTCCTTTTGGCCTCCTCAGGACAGGCTCCTCTTAGCCCTGCCATCTGTCACCATCAACTGAACTGCAGGGCCCCTTCCAAGTCTGTCACCACTGGTTCTGCTACTGAGCCCATTTTGGGCCTGTTGCCTCCATCAGTTTACAGCTCTTTTCGAAGGTTCCTTGCTCCTCCTCTTTTCTTCTCTCTTCTTTCTTCCTTCTCCTTCTTCCTGCTGCTTTCTGTATCTAAAACCTCTGGTGGGGTTGCTACTTATTATCTACAAAATCCTTGTCAATTTCAAGGCATAGCCCTCGCACCAGGGCCAGGAACTGACTAATCCTTTCTCAGTAGACCACAGATACTTCATTTGTATAGCAGGCTTTGGACATTTCATTTATATATTCCACAGTCACTTCATTTGCATAATCTATTGACCAATCCCTGCAAGGTACACACCAACCACAGGGCGGGATGCAGCCTAGGAACAGGCAAGAAATATCAAACCATCCTTGTTTATAGCTTGCAGTTTACCCAGGAAATGTCAACCAACCTGGACAAAAGTAATAAACCCTCTAGGGTAAAAAACTAGGACAAATGTTAATTCTTCAGGGTTTAGGGGAAAATTTCTCAAGCTGTTTTTCCAAAGAATCAAGGCAAAAGTACACATAAAGGAATTCATTTCACCACATCTGGGAAACTGAATGTGTAGGTAAATTTTGGGAAGGACTGAAGGGATCCAAGGGGAGGAAGGAGCAATATATAATGGAAGTCACCAAGAACAGGAGTTAGAAAACTTCAGCTATGCTTTCATTTTCACACTATCTTAAGGTGTGATCCTGGTCTGGGCACATCCCAGGTCTGAGGGGTAGTCACAGCAACATGGTTAAAAGCATGGACTTTAAAGTCAGACAGACTTACATTTGAGTCCCAGCTCCATCAATGTCTAGGTGGATGATAGTGAGTAAGTTATTAACCTTTCTATGTCTCAGTTTCTTCAGCTGTTGTGGGAGAACCTGTTTAGGGTTATGAGCATTACCAGTTACATGACAATGCTTGTAAGTCCCATGCCAGGTACAGAATACTATCTGCCACTTAGTATGGGCTCATCATCTTCACAGGTTCATCATCCACAAAATGAGGGTTTCAAACTCTAAAGGCTGGCCTCACAGAGCCACTGTCAAGCATACACATGATCAACATGCTGAACACGCAAAGCCCTATATAAGCAACAGGTCAAGCTCACCACCATCATCATTATTGTCATACAGTAGCAATAGTTTTTTTTTTTTTTTTAAAGAATAACATTATGAAGAATAGGAATTCTAGAACACTTAATTGTGCTAATGAGAAACATGTACATAGACCAAGAGGCTGTCACTCAAATAGAACAAGCAGATACTGCATAGTTTAAAATCAGGAAGGGTATGTATCAGGATTGTACCCTTTCATCATACTTACTCAATCTGTATGCTGAGCAAATAATCCAAGAAATTGGACTATATGAAGACAAACACAGCATCCAGATTGGAGGAAGACTCATTAACAAACTGTGATATGCAGATTACACAACACTGCTTGCTGAAAGTGAAGATGACTTGAAGCACTTGCTAATGAGAATCAGAGACTACAGTCCTTAGTATGGATTACACCTGAACATAAAGAAAACAAAAGTCCTCACAAATGGACTAATAAGCAACATCACAATAAATGCAGAAAAGACTGCAGTTGTCAGGGATTTCATTTTACTTGGATCCTGCGGTGCAATAAATTACCTGGTATGGCTTTTCTAGCCATAAGTCTTTGTAAACTCCATGGTGGAATTTGCCATAAGCAACTGAGGAGCTCCTGATTGTTAAAAGTTATCCACCTGGGGTATTTCTGTTGAGAGTGGCACAAAGCAATGTTCTGGGAAGTTCACCCTCTCTCAAGTACTCAGAATTCTGATGTTATGACTGGTTACCTGGCCACTCTGCCACGCTCAAAAGGAGCCCTCCGAGAGGCAGAAGAAGTCTCTCTGACTGCTGGCTGAGAAAGATATGTTGCTGAGAGAAACACACATCTGAGAGACACGTGCTGCTGAGAAAAAAGACACTGAGAGACACGAACTGCTGGGAGAGAGACCGAAAGAGACTGCTGGCTGAGAGATGGTGGCTTGAGAGAGACCAACCATACTTCCTGAACTTGAATTGTAGCCTGGCGCTTCCCTAATAAACCCCGTAATCCATGAGCTCTGTGTGGCCACTGCAGCAAATTATCGAACCTAGCAGAGAAGTGGTGGGTGTTGTGGGAGGAACATCTGGTGTCAGGGTTGATGAAAGGGCTGGAGGAAGGTGGCGTGTCTGGCCTCACAGGGATAGGCCTTGGGCTACTGATGGTGATTCTGTCTTTCTCTTGTGGGGTTAGAGGAAGTCAGAAGATGTGGCCTCCCTGTCCCTTTGGCAGATCCACAATCAATGCCCATGGAAGCAGCAATGAAGAAATCAGACATATTGCACTGGGGAAGTCTGCTGCAAAAGACCTCTTTAAAGTATTAAGAAACAAGAATGTCATTATGAAGACTGAGGTGTGCCTCACCCAGGCCATGGTATTTTCAATCACCTCATACGCATGTGAAGGCTGGACAATGAATAGGGAAGACTGAGGAAGAGGTGATACCTTTGAGTTGTGATGCTGGCAAAGAATACTGAGGATATCATGGACTGCCAGAAGATCAAACATCTGTGCTGGAAGAAGTGCAGCTGGAATGCTTCTTGGAAGCAAGAATGGCTAGACTTAGTCTCACCTACTTTAGTCATGTTGTTGGAGGGGACCATTCCCTGGAGGATATCATGCTTGGTGAGGTGGAGGGTCAGCAAAAAAAAAAGGGGAAGACCCAGGACAAGATGGATTGACATGGTAGCTATGGTGACGGGCTTGAACATAATAGCAAGGATTGTGAGGACAGCACAGGACCAGGCAGTGTTTCTTTCTGTTGTACACAGGGTCACAATGAGTCGGCGCTGACTCAATGACATGTAACAACAGCTAAAGTTTAGGATGGTAGCTTGGCCTGTTCCACCCTGATATTTCACAAAGAGCACTATGATTCTCAT